ATACTTTCGCTCGTCACGTGCGAAGCCCCCTGAACCCGCTCTGCTCCCCACGCCCTCCCTATCTCTGAGAATCTGGGTTTTCAGGCGCATTTAGTGGTTCCCCTCGGTGTTGTGTTCGGGCCGACGGCCCAGGATCTGGTTTGTCTGGAGTATCGTGTATCGAGAGCCTCCGGGCAAGGATCTCGTGTCATGAGACCCCGCCGAGCCGCCGCGGGGAAGCCTCGTGTGAGAACACCTGAATTCATCTCACCTCAGGTGCCTTTTCCACGAGGCGCGCTGGGTCTCCTGCGGCGACCGGCTGTCCCCCAGGTCCGCCCGCCGAAATCCGATGCGTGCCGCTCAAGTGCACGCAGACCCGGTCACCTCGGTCCCGTTCCTTCCAACAATGGCATTTAAAACCTCGCCCCACTGAGGCGTTTGTTCTCGAGTATTTCCTTATTCATCACCTCCTTCCTTCCCAGAGGAGACTTCAAAATGTGTTTTGTTTGGCATTCACGAGCAGCTGGTGGGGGAGGAGGGTTAGGTAGGGTGGCTGGTGTCGTTTTCCCACCTTTCCCACCGGCCTCCTCCTCCTCCTCCTCCGGCCCCCAGGCATCAGCGCCCTTGAGTGAGGCGAGAAGGTCCCGCCCACGGACTCGGGGGCAGCGAAACTGAAGTCGTTGCCTCTGCCCCGGCTCCCGTGCTTAAGCTGTAACTGCACTGGATGCACCCTGGATCGCCTGCGGCAGAGTTCTCCGTGGTCCTCGGGTGTCCGATCCACTGGGCCAGAGGGCTTGCCATCCACAGCCGCGTCCCTAGTGGGCCCCCTGCCCACACGTCCACCTCCCCTTGCAGTCTCCTCCGCCCTGCCATCCACGGAGAGGTTCCCAGGTGTCGCTGGAGCAAATAGCGTTGAACTGGGCTCGTGCTTCCCCTTCCTTCAGTTGCATTTTCCAGCCCAGCCGGCTCAGCACACTCGGCTGTGGCTCTCGAGGTCTCGGGGGCCCTGACGCCGCCTCCATTTACTTGCCACCGACAGTAGCGTTTCTCAGAAAAGCGGCACCGGTGACTTGTTTGTGTCTGTACGGTGTGTGGCTTTTCAGAACCAGAGAACTGAAGGAGTTCCCTCCGGCAGTAAGTCGGGGTTGTAAAGGGTCAGCGAGATGGTCTCATCCGCAGGGTGGAGGGACCGCGGCACCGGGCACAGCCACGGCCCTCCTCGCCCCAGGGCCGTCCGCGTAAAACTGAGCCTCCCGTTGGTTTTCTCACACGCACGCCTCTAAGGTCAACGCGGTATATTCCCCAAAGCAGGAGAGCACCTGCCTGTGTTTCCGTAGAGAAACGGGGGCAGAGCTCGCAACCTCCCCAGGGGCTCCGAGTCGCTGTGGCGCCGGTTCCTCCTCTAGCCCCACACTTACCGGCCAACCGCAGCCGCAGCCGGAGCCAACCCTCATCCAAGGGGTGAATGTACTGGGGACCGAAGGCAGAGCCGGCCTGTGTGTTTGCAGGTTAGGGAAGGCCAATCAATTACCAATGAACCCAACTCTACAGTACTTTTAACTGAAAAAAAAATTAAATGAAGGTTCGCGTGACTCTCTTACCCACTCGTGCTTGAACAAGTGGGTACGTCAGGCTCTCGCGTGGACTCCCAGGGTGCACAGGTACAGGCTGCCTGCAGGGGAGGGCCTCGCCCAGGCGCTCGTGGCCCAGGGCAGGGAGCCTGACTTGCTCGCCAGCTGTGACCGAGGCCAGCCGTCGACCACCTATTTCCGTTGAAAGTGGGATGCGGACCTTGGCTTTGCCCCCGCACGTCTCGGGTCCCTTCCCAGCGGGGAAGCGGCACGTCACCGGCACCTCCGTGAGGTTGCGCTCGCTCCGTGCGCCCCGTTTCCAGCCGGTGCCTCCGAGGCTTTGCACCTGGAGAGGCACCGAAACACTGCCCCACCGCCCAGAGCGCCCTGCCACTCACGCCGCGCGGAGCCCGCTGCCCTGGTCCCCAGGGAGCAGTCGTTTCCTTGCGGTAGTCACGGGTGGCGCCCACTCTTCGGTCGCCGAGGGGCTGGCACTTTAGCGCACTGAACTCCGAGCCAAGGCGGCGGAGCGGCTCTCACCCAGCTGTCCCTGTGCTGGCCTCGGGGAGGGCCTCGGAGATCACCTTACCGCCGGGTCCCCCAGTGAAACTTCAGGACGGTGGGTACCCAGCTCTTGGCAGAGCTGCCTGCACGGGTGAGGGCGAGGGCGCAGGACGAGGCCGCTGCCCTGGTGGGGGATGGTGAGTCGGGACCAGGGGTCAGACTGACCTTGCACCCGGGGTTCCGGGCAGGACCAGAGTGGCTGCTCTGTGCTTAGACGGAGGAAGGGAGCGGGAAGAGGCCGGGACTCCAGGGCGCCGCTGTGGCCCTCCTCTTCCTCTGTGTCCCCTTGCGCTCAGGCCCTGGGGACCCTCAGGCCTCAGAAGACCTGGTCAGCCCACCCTGTGCCTCTGCAGAAAGGGGCTTCCCTGCAGGGCCGCCCCCCGTGGCCCAGCCGCAAGGCCAGGCTGTCACGTGGACTGTCGCTTCTCTCAGGCTCGGCTCCCGAGGGGGACAGAGTAACAGTGGAAGGGCCCGCACAGCGGCGCCGTGAGAGGCGAGGTGCAAAGCTCTGCAGAATTCGGGGTGGGCCCCTCGCAGGCTCTGTGGCGAGAGGGCGCCCAGACACGCTCTCCAGTGTGTGCTCGCTCGAGTCCCGGCGGCCCAGGCCACCGGTGAGACCGGCCGCCCGTCAGGGAGGGCTCTGGGTTGGTCCGGAGCCTGCTGGTTCTGGTCTGCCTTTGGGGACCACCTAGAATAAGTCAAATCCCCTGTTTATAGGACAGCCCGTCCTGGGTGACACTGTCTCATGATGGCCCAAGGAGCCGACTGTCTGGGTCCTAAAAAGAGCCTGGAGAGACAGGGCTGCAGCCCCGCCCCCCTCGGCAAGGGCCCTGCCCAGGGGCCGCCCTCCGGGGAATCCGAACCTTGGCATCCCTTGGAAACCGACTCCGATAAATCCAATTCACCAAAGACAAGGGCATCCGGGATGGCTGGAAATTAGTTTGAAAATAAAACAAGGCACTCGTGTTTGCAGAACAGAGCTTTCTCTTCCTGTTGGCAAGTTGAGAGGGGCCAAATTGCAGGGTGTTGAGTGGACAGGGAGTCAGGAAGGATCAGTCGGATGATCTCAGGGCCCGCTGTCGCCAGGGCGTGCTGGCCAGGGTCACCCCTCCCCCTCGAGCCTGGACCGGCACTCGGACTGCCAGCTTCCTCCAGGGCCCACCCGCCCCCTCCCCCACTTCCCCACCTCCACAGCAGGCCAGCTCCCCGAGCACGTGGGAACCCAGTCCTCCCCTGGTGCCTCGGTCGGACAGAGGTCTGGTCTGCTTCGTACTGGCCGTTGTCGTTTAACCTGCAAGGGACAGCGCGATCCCAGAAGTCCTGGCAGGGGGTGGCGAACAGGACCCCAGGGTCCCTGACACTGGGAACAGGGCTCAGCTGGCATTTGATTGTGCACAAGCGTGTAACATCTCATGTATGCTATTGTTTTGCTTGTAACTCCTCGGGTGTTTACAGTTGGAAACTTTTATTTTGAGATCCTCGTAGATTCACGTGCAATTGTTAGAAATAATACAGAAAAAGCCCATGTACCCTTCACCCAGTTCCATCCAGTGGTAGCACCTTGAAAAACCGTAGTATGATTCCCCAACCGGGGGTGCCGACATCCATACATTCCAGACCCGGGAGATTCCTGTCATCACCAGCGTCTGTGTGGCCACACCCACTTCCCTCCCCTCCACCTTCTCCTCATCCTCTGGCACCCACCCATCTGCTCTCCATTTACAAAGTCCTGTCACGTGAAGCATGTTACAGACGTGGCCCTGACCAGCGCGCTCAGTCGGTCGGGCACCGTGCCTCAAAGCAAAAGGTCACCTGCTCCGGCGTGGTGCTACTCCTGGTCAGGGCACGTGCCGGGGGTTGTGGGTTCAGTCCCCAGCTGGGGCTCGTGGGAGGGGCAGCTGGTTGATGTTTTCTCTCCTATCGCTGTTTCTTTCTCTTCCTCCCTCCCTCCCCCTCTCTCTAAAAATAAATAAACTTGTTATTTATTTATTTTAAATATTTTATTTATTTATTTTTAGAGAAAGGGGAATTGAGAGATAGAAGCATCAGTGTGTGGTTGCCTCCCATGTGGCCCCCACTGGGGATCTGGCCCACAACCCAGGCATGTGCCCTGACTGGGCATCAAACCAGCAACCCTTTGGTTTGCAAACCCACGCTCAATCCACTGAGCTACACCAGTCAGGGCTAAACTTTTTTTTTTTTAAAGAATGTTGACCTGTGTCGCAGGTTCGATTCCCAGTCAGGGTACATGCCTGGGTTGCAGGCCATGACCCCCAGCAACTGCACATTGATGTTTCTCTCTCTCTCTTTCTCTCTCCCTTCCCTCTCTAAAAATAAATAAATATTAGAAAAAAAAAAAGAATGTCGCCACTGCTGGGTGGCGTGGCGCTGCACGCGCTGCTTTTTGCGAGAACGCCGCGCAGTCGTCCTGGGCGGCCGCGGCCCTTGTGTGTTCCCGCCAGCGGTGTGTGCGTGGTCTCTAGGCTCTCTGCGTCCTCTGCGTAGGGACGGTGCTCAGTAGTGATTTGCAGGCTGACCGATTCGGCTGTGTGCGTGGCACCTTGACCTCGTGCAGAGAGAAAGTCTGGGACTTGTGGTGAGGTGGGACTGTGGGCGTCGGGTGGACCCTCTTCACAGCTGCCGCCATGGAAGCGCTCGCAGACACCCAGCGTCCTGACGGGTGGGCTGGCGTCCGCCCTCCATCGTCACGGGGACGTGACGAGCAGCGGGCAGACGGCCCCGAGACCCTTTGAAATGCCGACCCACGCGTTGCGGTGGCTGGACTAAGGCCCTCTCGTCCATGGCAGGCGCCCGGTTGGGGGACCCGCCGTCCGTGAACTTGCAGCAGGGCGTCCAGAGCAGTCACCCGTGTCTCCTTTGAAACAGGAGGACCGCGACACCATGGAGGCCGATCTGGACAAGGACGAGCTGATCCAGCCCCAGCTCGGAGAGCTCTCGGGCGAGAAGCTCCTGACCACGGAGTACCTGGGCGTGAGTACTGCGTGGCGGGGGGGGGGGGTCCTGCGGTGGGGAGGAGAGCGGGACCGTGGACGGACAGAGGCTCCGCCACGGCACACGAGGGTTTGGCCTGGTCTGTGGCGATGCCATAGTTACGGGAAGCTCCCTGTTGGCCAGTTTGCTTCCGGGGCCCTGACGTCCCCAGTGGCCCCGCTCCCTGCCACAAGCAGACCTGCTGGCAAGCAGAAGAGGGGTCAGACTGTAGCCACGGGGCGCATGCCAGGGGCCTTCGTGCCATCTGCAGGCCTGCCGGTCCTCAGCAGCAGTCACCTGGCCAACTGTCCATGTGCCTCATCTGCCGGGGGGGGGTTGGAGATCGTGGTGGGTGCGGCGGTCGTCGGCACACGGCTGATGGCCCAAACCACCAGATGGAGGAGGTTGTCCGGCAGAGCGGAGGGTGGGGTGGGGAGGGAGTGAGGGCGGGGCTGAGGACAGAGGCTGAGCTGGCAGGTCGGGAGTGGGAGGGCGGAGAGCGAGCAGTGAGGCCCGAGGGGAAGCAGGGGACGCAGTGCCTCGGAACACAGACGGGAGGGGTGTGTCGGGGTCAACGAGGAGGTCGGTCCCGCGTCTGAGCGGCCTGTGGAGTCGTGTATGTATGACCGGGCCGAAGTCTGAACTCAGAGAACTCCCCATGACCCTGACACTCGGCCAGCTCCGGGGACCACTGCTGAGCACACACCAGCTAACAGGGACAGCACGGTGGGAGGGAGCCGCCGATCCATCCATCCGTCCATCTATCCATCTGTCCATCGGCCAGGACAGAGGGCAGTGTCCAGGCTCGGGGCCTGGAGTGTCTCCTGGATCAGAGAGCTCAGGAGTGAGTCGGCGGGTGCCAGAGCGTCAGGTTTCTGAAGGGAGGAGCAGTTACAGGGGATGAGGACCGATCCAGATGGAAGCCCTATGACGGACAGACAGACAGACAGACGGCTACGTGCTAGGGGTGAAGGGCACTGGTGTTGACAGGAGCTCCAGGCCTCTCGGAGCTGCCGGTTGACTGGGTCAGTGGCGTGGACCCTGAAATCTCGAGAGAGGCCGTTGGTTGGGGCAGAAGGTGGAGACGGTGACCTGGGAAGGAAACCGTGTGGGCGCAGGGGTCTCAGCCTCGGCAGGACGAGCGGAAGCAGAAGGCGCCTGTCCGTTGCCACTGCTGTTCCCCGCCTCCAGTCCAGGCCCCCATCACCTCCCCCGGGCCACTGCTCGCCTGGCCCACCGGCCCTGGTCCCCAGGCCGGAGCACAGTGTTTGCTGGTGGAACCTGAGGTTGGAGGACAGCCAAGGGTCTAGCCACGGGGCGCCGCAGGCAGAGGTTTGGGGTTTTGCTCTGCATGAGCCAGGGAGTCGGCAGGTCCAGAGCCGGGGAGCCACTCAGTGTGACCTAGCCTTCTGCTGTCGCCACCTCCACTCTCACTCCGGCTGCTTCACGGAGAATAGGCCGTGGGGGCAAGTGTGAACGAAGGGGGAAGGCCGAAGGAGTCTGGGGGTGCGGTGACCGCCGTACCCCGTCACGGACAAGGTCTGCTGCCTGTCTGTGTCCACAGCATGTCTCAAGGTTCAAAGGCATCGAAGTGACTGCGGCGGCTCCGGTTACGTTAGGTCAGGTGGGAGGTGCCTGAGAGAGGCTGGGAGCGAGAAGACCCGGTGGGTTCCAGGCGGTTCCGAGGGCCTGAGCCCTGATGGGGCTCCGGGGTCCCTGTGGAGGGGCACTGGCTTTGTCGGAGAAGGGTGAGGTCCGTGCGGCGGGACCTGCATTCTGAAAAGTGGCTGTTGAGGACACTGCCGGCACTCGAGACCCAGCTCCCCGCACACAACCGCACTGGCGTGTGCGGGTCCACAGGCCCTCACACAGCCGTGCTGACACAGCCCGAACACGGCCCCTTGGCCAAACAGCTGGCAGCACCTCCACCCCGGGGACCGCCGTGGCTGACAGCCTCCCTCGATACAGTGAGGACTTTTAACGAAAAACAAGACCGGAGCCCGCTGGGACCCGTTTAATCGGCAGACAGGCCAGGCACAAAGGGACAGAGCTCGCCGGCCCGTCAATCACCCGGTCGGCGGCCTCCAGCGACGGTGTCGTCTCAGCACGGCAGGCCATCCTGGCTCTCCCGAGAGCCTGGTACCGCCTCCTGGCTCCTGGCGGGAGGAAACGCCCTGAAGCCCGCAGGAAGGCTCCACGTGGCCTTGCTCGTCTGGTCGGGGTCAGGTGTTTCCGGCGGGGACATGAGTGATAAGGATGAGCACGGAAAGAATTCACCATACGGATGTGAAAGTCAAGTTTATCCGTTTCCTGGGGCTGCAGGAACAAATCGTCATAACCAGGGCGGCTTAAGGCCACAGAAGTTCATTCTCACGCCGTTCTAGGGGCCGGGCTCCGGAAACCAGGGTGCCAGCGGGGGCGCCCGCCTCCAAAGGTTCTGGGGGCCCCGGGGGCTCCTCGGCCTGGGCCTGTTTGACTCCAGATTCTGCCCCCGCCCCCCCCACCGGCCTCCTGCTCCTCTGCCCTCTCTTTCACGTCTCAGAGGGACGTGAGGGACTCAGAGGGACTCCTGCCATTGGACTTGGGGCAATGGAGGATGAGCTCTTTGTCTGAGCTCCTCACCGGGTCAGATCTGTAGGGACCGTTCTTCCATACCGGGTGGTCTCAGGCACGAGGAAGTGTGTCTTGGGGGCCCCCGTACCACCTGCCGCGCGAGGCCCCTGTGGGGTCCCAGGGTAGAGACAGGTTTCACCAGAGACCCGAACGTCGAGCCGCAGTCCCGGAGGCTGCGGGGCGGGGCGTGCCCGGTTTCGTGTGCCGTCTCTGCTCCTGAGTCACCCACCCGACCTTGATCTGAAATCGCCGGCCCGCCGGCCTCTGGGCGCTGGGCCAGTGGTTTCAAAGGAGGAGTCCTGCTTGCCACGCCTTTGGCTCTCTGGCGAACGGAAGGGCTTTCGCCTCTTATCTTCGCAGCGGCCTGTGCCAAATGGGAGGGCGTGGCACAAACAGGACACTTCACCGGGGAGCACGTGCCCCCCAAATCCTCGCTCACGCCTCCCAGTCAGGGTACTAGGCAGATCTTTCAGGGTCATTCCAAACATAATGGCTCTTTGAAACACTGTGTCAGAAAATTACATTCAAAAAGTTTTTGTTGAACGGGTGCCCTTTGCCTAACACACAGCAAAAAGCCAAAAAAGTTGAAGCCGCGGCCCTCCAGACATTTACACGGGAGGCCCAGAGCCGATGACACGGCGCTGCTGGTCAGGGAACCACACAGCAGCGAGGAGTGGCCGGGGGCGGCAGGTGCTGCCCCACGAGGTCAGAGCTAGCCTAGGGTTCCCCCAAGTCCCAGACTGCCGAATGGGCTTAAAAGTAGCCCAGGCCCCACCCCACGCCTCCCAGGATCGGTTACTGTGCACGCCAGCGACCAACCGAGAAACTGCTAGCTTGGAGGGGAGGGTGGAGGGTTAGGGTTAGCTTCATTACGTTCCACTTCCTCCAGGAGGGAAGGGGCCTCCCTCCCGCCTTCTGGCTCCTGTCTTTTTCCCTTCCCACTTCCTTCCGCCCACCCGCCCTCCTCCCCCCCTAGGCTGGGCCCCGCCTGCCCGCTGCCCCAGCTGGTAGCTGTGCCCCAGCCCAGGCCACGCCTATTGATGCCCCCCCCGACAGGAAAGTGGCCCTTTTTTTCTTCTCCCTGCCTCCAAGTAGTATACAAACCCAAATAACTTCTCAGTACGAACCAAGAAATCACCGGTGTAACTCCAATTTAAGAAATGTAACTTTTTCCTTGGAAATAATCACAGGGTCTCAGAGAGTTGGGGAAACAGTGTGGGGAGTTCGCATGCACCCTCACCCAGAGCCCCGCCCCCACCCCACCCCCGCGCCCCCAGGCCATCCTGGCTGTAGCCCCATCCCCTGGGCCGGGAAGCTGCCGCAGGCTCGGTCGCTCGGACCTCACCAGCTGCACAGAGGCTTCTTTGCTCAGCAGCTTTCCTCACTGTTACTATAACACGACCACATCACAGAAACTTGGAAAATGGGAGAAAAATTATTCTCGGTTCTGTCATCCTGCGTGACCTCTGCGTGCAGCCCTGAGTCCTTGCGCGCTCTGCGCGCTTGTGGCGTGTTCGAAAGCAGCCTTTGTGTGCAGGGTTGTAAGTCGACTTTGATTTAACGTTTTAAATGAGCATTTTCTTTATAGCCTAGTCTTCATCATGGCAAATGGCTATGTAATACTTCGAATGAACATGCCGTATTTTACCTAATTATTCCCCTATCACTGGGACAGCTAGATTGTTCCAGTTTTGCTCTATAATAATTTTGTCACAAGCAACTTTGTTTATTTAGCATTCTCCGTATTTTGCATTTTTTTACTAGAATTGACACCCAAGGATATGAACATTTTTACAACTCTTGTTTAAAATTTATTTATTTCAAGAGAGGAAGGGAGGGAGAAATAGAGGAAGAGAAACATCCATGTGTGGTTGCCTCTCACACCGCCCTCCCCCCGCAACTAGGGACTTGGCCCGCAACCCAGGCACGTGCCCTGACTGGGAATTGAACCTATGACCTTTTGGTTCACAGGCCAGCCAGCACTCAGTCCACTGAACCACACCAGCCAAGGCTTCAACTGTTGATATAAAATGCCACATTATTTTCCAAAAGATTTGTCTCAAACTTCCATGCCACTAACATTTCAAACCACGGCCAGCAGTGGGGGGTACCATTTCTTTAATTGTCACTTATTGAATGCTTTCTTCTTGGTAATTATTTGTGTGGAAAACTCAAAAGGAGCCCAGAGGTTTTGGCTAGAAATTGGTGATAAAGATTTATTCAAGGATCTTAGGGTTTGCAAACCAGCAACACAACTAGGCAAGACCCAGAGTGTTCGGAAGAAGAAAGAAAGAACGAACGAGGGTTCCTACAGTGAAAAGTGCATTCCTGAGAAGAGCCGGCCCTGCACGCTGGACTGGTCATAGATGATAACCATCTCTGGATGGCCGATGGTCTGGATGCTGGACGTCAGTCAGGTGGTCTGGACACTGGACGCTCTTCCCCAGCCCTGCGGGGGCAGCCAGAGGGTTATCCGGCCGTCTGACATAGACCCTGGCGCTGACGCAGGAATGCAGGACTGGAGAGTTCAAGAGTTGACGTTCCCAGGCCAGTTAGAGCAAGAATGGAGTCATCTCCTCAGGCCTCGACCTACTGGGTTTTAGTAATTCAGCCACTTGACTCTGGTGTCTTCATATTATATGTCTTCACCCTGTTCTTCACTCGTGAGGTTGACCATTTTTCTGTTTTCTGGTGGTATTTCCTGTTTTACGGCTTAGCCGTTTGAGTCCTTTGCCCAATTATCTGTTTAGTCATTTACCTACTAAGTTGTAAGAGCTCCTTATCTAATGCAGATTCTAACCTTCAATCGGTTAAATTTACCACAAAGATTTCTTGTATGTCGTTTACCTGTTAATTTGGCTTCCTTTTAGTATATTGCATATGTGGAAATGTTGATTTTTCATGAAACCCAATCTCGTTTTCCCCCTCTCACTTTCACAAGTCAGTCCTCTGCAGAGACGTGATATCACTCCATTTATCTGTTTTCGTCTCCTTTTTTCCACGGCTTGGTTTTTTAAAAATTCATACCGCTAAATGGTCTACCATGCAAACCTCAGGGGAAATTTTCCGCCATCTGTGGCACAATCCTCCCTCGTGTATCGGCAAAGCCCCGGGTCACCGTAGACTAATTTATTAAACGCAGCAACTTCTGCTTCCAGGTCAGCTCTCAAGGTGCTTTCTCCAGCCCCTCTTCCTCTTTCTTTCCCCCAGATCCTGACCAACACGGGGAAGACGAGGCGCAGGGGGGCGCCTGGTGCACAGTGGGGCGGCGACGAGCCCCTGCGCCGGCCCGTCACGCCCGGCGGCCACCGGAGCGGGTGCCCCGCGTAAGTCCAGGCGGACGGAGGCGGGGGGGTTTGCTTAAGCTTCATTTTAATTAACTGCAGTGTAAGATGTGTGTATATGAAGTTTCAAAATAAACCGTTCCTATGGAAAAGCATTTATCTCCTTATTGTTTACCTTTTGGGGATTTTTGAAGGGAGCTCGAGTCTCCCACTCCTCCCCCTCCCAGGTTCCCCCCCCCCCAAAAAGGGAAGAGGTTGGGTTTCGGGATCTCCAGGGCCGCTTCTGGTCGTCCCCCAGGAGAAGCCCAGTGTGGGCCAACGTGACTGCACAGGAAGGGGCCGGAAGGAGTCGCGGGTCTACCCGGAAAGGACAGGGGTGGTTCCTCCTCCCCAGCCTGTCGCTGCAGCGCGAGGCTCTTTGTTGGGATAGAGTGCCACAGGTTAAGACACCAAATCAACTTATATTTAGATGGATTTTTTAAAAAGATTTATTTATTTATTTTTAGAGAGAGGGAGAAAGAGAAGAAGAGAAACATCAATGTGTGGTTGCCTCTCACCCGCCCCCCACTGGGGACCTGGCCCGAAACCCAGGCGTGCGCCCTGACTGGGAATTGAACCAGCAACCCTTTGGTTCACAGGTTGGCACTCCATCTACTGAGCCACGCCAGCCAGGGCTAGAGGGGTTTTTAAAGCAACTATAAGCTGCCAAGCCTTATTCATTCTTCATAGCCTTGCTTTTCCCCTGTTTACATAAACAAAACTTCAGTCTGGTTACCCAGAGCCTCTGGCCTCCCTGGGGACCCGAGGGCCTAGACAGACGCCTGTGTGCTCTGGGGGAGCACCAGGCCCGGCAGCCCAGCACAAGCGGGAGAGAAGTGTCTTCTGTGGCCTCTCTTCCCGTCTAGAGAGAGAATGCTGGAGAGAAACAGGTACAAACCGGGGCTTAGAGAGAGCAAGCAAAAAGACCTGCATTCATTCATTCAGCACGTACTAGCCATAAAATACTTCCAATGAATACGCTCTGTTTTACTTAGAAATCCCCTAGACCTGGGCGTCCTGGTTGTTTCCAGTTTTACTCCTCAGTAATGTGAAATGAGCAGCCAGGCACAGGAGACTGGGCAGGCCCAGAAAATGCCCGTTCTCACGGAGCTGTGTGCACGGGGCCGCGGATGCCGAGCGCCGGTGCCCGTCCGGCACCTGGCCTGTCATGTCAGGGCCCACGCCGTGGGTCGGCGCTCTGAGACCCATTTGACTTGATTTCAAAACTAGTCGTTGTGTCCTTCATATGTCACGGTTTTTATTTTTAACTAGTAATATACTAGCTAACATAACACCTTTTTCTCTTAAACCGACAACAAGTATTTTTTAGCCCACAGAGAAGTTGAAAGAGTATTACAATGAAGCACTTCCAGCTGTTAACATTTTCCATCTTTGCACACTCAGCTCTCTCACACCTGCCCTCTTTTCTGCGTGCATAATACACACGTGTGCACTTTTCTGCTGAACTGTTCGGGGAAAGGTTGCAGACTTTCAGCACGCATCTCCTAAGCCACTAAGAATGTCCTGTACGGCCCTGGCTGGCGTAGCTCATTGGACTGAGCGCGGGCTGTGAACCAAAGTGTCGCAGGTTCGATTCCCAATCAGGGCACATGCCTGGGTTGCAGGCCATAACCCCCAGCAACCGCACATTGATGTTTCTCTCCCTCTCTCTCTCTCTCTCTCTCTCTTTCTCCCTCCCTTCCCTCTCTAAAAATAAATAAATCTTAAAAAAAAACGAATGTCCTGTACTTAACCACATTATCTCACCTGAGAAAGGGAACATGAATTTAATAATATTGTGAGGTATGTCCAGGGTCCCTAATTGTCCACAGAATGTCATTTATAGCTGAGGAGTTTGGTGGACTTTTTTTAACTCCTCACCCAAGGATACCTTTATAGATTTTAGAGAGAGAGGAAGGGAGAGAGAGACACTGATGTGAGCGAGAAACTCCAAGCAGTTGCCTCCCCTACACACCCCAGCGGGGATCAAACCTGCGACCCAGGCGCGTGCCCCGACTGGGGATCAGACCTGCGACCTTCTGGGTCACAGGATGACGCCCCGCCCTCTGAGCCACACCTGCCAGGGCTGTGGGGGTTCGATCCAGAATACAGCCAAGTGTCAGCGGCTGGTAAATCCAGTTCATAAACATCACATCTTTTCAAATGAGACGTTACAGGAACGAACAACATTCATCTTGGTTGACATGGGAAAGAGGACACCAAATCATCCATTTTAAAAATTATTTTTAAAGCATCTTTTAGAATGACTAGCACCCTGGCTTCACAGAGAGGCAGGGATGACCCGAGGACATTGTAATCCGAGAGAAGCGGAGAAGGAGCCTAATAAAGACCAGGTCTGACCAACGGGCACAGTTAATTCTCGAGTCCTGTGTTCTGCTTGGCAGAGGAAGACGAGGACACTGCTCCACGCCTGGGGAGCACGCGCGGGTGTCCCCTGACTGTGGGAGCGGTCACCGCAAGGAGTGCGAGACCTCGTTGTCCTGCATGGCGGGCCTTCCCGCTGGAACGGAGCGAGTGCCCGCCCGGCCCCCTCCGCTGGGCACGCCCAACGCGCCTGTGTGCCCGTCTGCACCGGAGGGTGTGCCAACCGTGGGGGGTGCGGACTAAGTGAGGGGATTCCTGCCTCAGCAGCCCCAGAGCAGGGGGACAGAGAGACGATAGGTGGGGTGCGGTCAGGAGGGGGTGTCAGAGGGAACATTCTGGGCCTCAGGTCGGCCTCCTGAGAAAGTGGATATACTGTCCACGCACACCGGCCCCCAGAATGTGGCGTTGCCGGGACACTCTGGTAACCTGTGTCACACACGCGTTCGAGATCCTGGCACTTTTGGGGGCAGTGACCCCCTCCCCTTCTAGGGCTTTATACTGGGGAGAAATCAGAACTTTGCAGATGTATAGGAAAGGGTGTTACTTATACAACGAAAATAATCTAAATGTCCAAAGCAGGAGGCTGATGACATAAACGATATAGTCACACAAAGCAGCATTGAAAATGATGTTTTAGAAGAACATTTAATGCATGGGGAAAGCCTCACGACAGCCAAGTGAAAAAGCCAGTTAAGAATAATGTGGATCACCTGAAACCTATATAATTTTATTAACCAGTGTCAGCCGAGTAAATTCAACTTAAAAAAAACAAAGGAAAAAAATAGTGTGGATCTAGCCTATTAGCCTTACTGACTTACTGCTAGCCTACGTACGGACTCACAGTCCCCCCCAGTTTTCTGCACTTTTCTAGTGTATATATTTGCACTTGTTAAAAGATACCAAATGGTAGGAGTGTGTATGTCTCGGTGCTGGGAGAGCCGGCCACGCTGTAGATTCTCTGTGTTTTCCTCGTTTTCCATGATCAGCACAGGCTTTATGATCAAGGAGAGAAAGGTGGAAATAAAAACAAACCCAGCGGTCCCTGTGCAGGGACGTCCCCGTTCCCACATGGGGGGGCACGCCTCCCCCGCCCCCTCAGCCCGTTTCCCTCAGGTCCCAGCCTCCCTGCTCCCTGCATTCCAGAACCAAATGTGACCCCAGCATTTAACACTTCTTGCTCCATCTCCAGCCTGCCCTCCTGCTGCCTCCCCGCACCTCCCCCTCCCTCACCTCGGGCCCCTCTGGCTACTTCCCCGGCGGCCCGTTCTCCTCTCCCCACGGGGACCCCTGCCAGGGGAGGGGTCTGGCCGTGACTTCAGCAAACCACTGCTGCCCGGGCCGCGGTGGCCTTCCTGCTCTGACCTTTACTCCGAATGTCTCCCAGAGGCCACCGCAGACACCCCTCCCCTGGTAGCTCTCCCCACTCCAAGTCCCGCCACCACCGTGGGCTGGTCCCCCGCCCCTGACCCGTCACCCTTCTCCCTCCTAAATGCCGTGTCCTGCAGGCCCAGTTGAGGTCCCCGTCCCATCCTGCTTGTTCTCTGGTTTCCACGACACACTGCTGACACCGCATCTCTGACTGTAGCCCAGACTTCTTGTGCCCCCAGAACCCCCCCTTGAGCGTTTCCCAAATGAACACCACGGTCCCCTGGGCCCCGGCTTCAGGGCAGGGCGTTAATGCCCCCAGGCACCTGAGCCGGAATCCAGCCCGTGCACCCGGAGCCCTCTGCGCCCCACGTGCTCTCCCAGCCCTGGCTCTTCTCTCTGCCCTCTGGAGCCACTCTCGGCCTCGGGCCCAGGAGGGCCCCCAGCGACCTCCCCGCCACGGCCCACCCTCCAGGAGCACGGACAGAATGAGTGATCTCCCCAGCACAGCGTCATGGAATGTCATTTCTGTGACCCCTCTTTCCTTGAGGGCTCAAATCCAGTCAAACCCAGCCCACGGGGTGCTTCCCGATGGGCCCCTGCCCCAGCTCAGCCCTGGAAGCTCCCCTGGACACCCTGCACCCTGCAGCCGCCAGTTTGGGTGGTGTCTTCAATCTTTTTTTTTTTTAAGATTTTATTTATTTATTTTTAGAGAGAAGGGGAAGGGAGGGAGAAAAAGGGAGAGAAACATCAATGTGTGGTTGCCTTTCATATGGCCCCCACTGGGGACCTGGCCTGCAACCCAGGCATTTGTCCTGGCTGGGAATCGAACTCTATGGGCCCTTTGGTTTACAGCCCGTGCTCAATCCACTGAGCTGCACCAGCCAGGGCCTTAAATCTTTCTGTACCAATGCAGCCTGAGTAATTCTTTGGCCTCTTCACCTTGCTCATGGCATCACCTCTGCTGGGAAAGTATCCCTCGTTGGGCCCCAGGCAGGCCCAGGTCAGAGTTCAGAACTGGCTGAGACACACACACACACACACACACACACAGTGCCTGCTGTCCTCTCAGGGCGGTTGTCTGTCTTCGCTGCTGGCACTGACATTCCAGAACAGCCATTCCGTGGGACCCGCTCCGAGGACAGGTGGGCCCAGGCTTGCTGGGATGTGGCCCACCCGCGAAGCCCCTGCTGGAGCAGGTGGCTGGCGTCTCCTTGCTGAGGGGACCGAGCGTGGTGCTGCTGTGCATACAGGGCCGACCCAGAGCACCCTGCCTGCCCCTGTGTGACGTACTGGCCCAGGCCCCACCCCTCCCGCCTGGCCTGGGGGCTGGAGCAGTGGAACACCCACGAGATGCCCACTGGGTGAGTGGGCCTCTGCCTCCCCCACCCAGGTGCCAAGTGAGGCCACGCCTGCACCACGTGGGCAGACTCCCAGAAACCAAGCCCTTCCCAGCCCTGTGTCCGCCTGACTCCCGGTGTCATGGCTGACATGACATGCCCCGTCTTCTCTGGCCAGATTCTTCCCTCCACTAATCTGCTCCATCCTTGGAGGAGAAAAACCAGACTGTGCCTCAAAGTGGTTGAAATACCATGCCCCACGTCTCCCAAAGCCAAAAGATAGCATCGCCCCCTCGAAAGATGCCGAGTCGATTATCGCTGTAAATGTGTAAGAGCTAATGTGAGCGAGGTGAGGGTACTTCCTACTTCCTGCCAGGACCCTCACAAAGGTAAAATATCAGCCCTGGCTGGCGTAGCTCAGTGGATTGAGCGCGGGCTGTGAACCAAAGTGTCACAGGTTTGATTCCCAGTCAGGGCACATGCCTGGGTTGCAGGCCATGGTCCCCAGCAACCACACATTGATGTTTCTCTCTCTCTCTCCCTCCCTCCCTCTCTAAAAATGAATAAAAAAAGGTGAACTATCTGCCAGCATCAGTTTAGCCAAAGAATTTCGGGTACTTCCCCTTCCTGTGTGTGTGCCTGTGACGCTGCAAGGTGGTCAGCGGTCCAGTGTGTCCGGCTTTCTGCGCTGACCACGGTTTTCGCTGTGTTCCTGCAGGCCGGAAGACCATCCCGTTTCCCCCCAGCCATCCCGACACGCCAGGAACAGCTGCCTCCTGTCCCCGCCGAGGGCCCACCGTCCAGCCTGCAGGTGGGGGCAGCCGGGTGCTGCGGAGCCCCAAGTGTCGACTTCACGTAAGAGCACTGGCAGCATGGGGGGGGGGGGCGCTGGGGGGCTGACTTCTAGAATGGAACGAAGCAGCCACGGGTACAGACCCAAAAATCCTGGGCCTCGCACCTGCTCCTGGGAGCCCTCGGAGCTCCACCACTGCCCCCGTGTCCGAGGCCCTGGGCCCACGGTCCCCCCGCCAGACCTGCCGTGGCTATTCCTCCAGACCCCCAACTCTCAGAGCGCCGCGTCCACCTCTTCTCATGTCTACAAGCTGGCTGGGCCAGATTTCCGACTGGGGAAAGCCTTGTTCCTTTTTTATTTTTCTTAAGATTTTATTTATTCATTTTTAGAGAGGGAAGGGAGGGAGAAAGAGAGAGAGAGAGAGAAACATCCATGTGTGGTTGCTGGGGGTGGTGGCCTGCAACCCAGGCATGTGCACTGACTGGGAATCGAACCTGCGACACTTTGGTTCGCAGTCCATGGTCAATCCACTGAGCTACGCCAGCCAGGGCTAGGAAAGCCTTGTTTTACATGAGGCCCCCGAGTGGGAACCTCAAAACAATGTAGATCTACGACCACGCGGGTCCCTCGAGCTTGGAGCTGAGGGCTGGGCCATGCGTCGGACGTGTGGGGCGGGAGCCAGAGCCACTGTGGGGCTGGTCTCCAGACCCGATCCGAAGCATCTGGTCAAGTTCGCCAGAGACCAACCAGTGCAGGATAAAAGGGCTTTTCAGATGCCAGAGAAAACAGACATGCATTGCCTCAGACATGGACAAGGTATTGTTTTTTATTTTCAAGAGGAAATTAAAAGGATATGAGCACACCAGACAAGACCCGAACCTCCATCTCCGTTCCAATAGGAAGAACAGCAGGGGAGCGGGTCAGGCTCCGGCGTGAGGGACGTCGGAGAACTTCCACCTTCCGCGCACTGTCGGGCCCAGACGCTTCCGGGCCCGGGTTCGAGCAGCAGGCCCGTCGGTCACAGAGTGCGGAGAAGGCCAGGTCGTGTGGGCTCGGGGGGCACGGCCCCCCGGAGCTGAGCGCCTTCACAAGTCCTGCCACTGTGGTTGTCTGCTAGTTTACCTGTTTTCTGTCACAGCTAGGAACTCGAACACACCTTCCCTCAGAGGCGATGGGCTCCACCCGTCCACAGGCTTCTGCCGCCAGGGCGCACGTGGGGGGCGGTCTGACACCTCTCGCCGATTTGACCTAACGCCACCGAGTTTTAGATGGTTTCAGATTCCGAAGGCCTGGACCTCCAAAACGCTGCATTTAGAGTAACTTGTTTATCAGTAACCTCCTAGTGTCAGCAACATGACCACCAGGGTGGCCCTGTCCTCCGCTGGTGGCCAGTGTGTCCTGTCCTTCGGAAAGGTGTGGCGTGGGAGGCGGTCCTGGACAGCGAGGGCCGAGTGGCCGCTGATGTTGTGTTGGGCTGCGTGGACATCAGTGTTATTTTCGAGAACAATTGATATTAGCCCTTTCAAGGTGAAGGCCCTGGCAAATCCTGGCTCCTCGGATAAAGGCGGTGGGCACCCAGCGGGGCCTCAGCCCCGGGGATCACCAGCAGTCCCGTGTCTCCCCCCGGGGAGGCCGCAGCGGCTCACCAGCCCCTCCAGATGCACGAGGTGGAGCCAGAGCCGCTGTGCTCCCCAGGGCCCGCGGGAGCGCGCCTGTCTGCCCGCTCTGAAGGCCACAGGGACCACATCCTGTGCGCCCCACCCACCCTCCACCCACTCCCGTTTTCTCTGGACGCATCCACTCCCCCTGCCCCCCGCCTCGACGGACCCCTGTCTGTCCCGCACCTGATAGACTAGACCACCAGCCAGGCTGCTGTCAGCCGTCAGTCAGTCTCAGGGCGGCGCCGCATTTCCCCTTTGAAATCCTTTTACTCAACAGAAGTCCTTTCCCAGGGGAAGCCAAAAGCCTCCAGGGCACTGACTCCGTGTCTGACGTGGATTCTGTTCTTCCTGCTGCCCTGTTTCAGGCTGGCCCAGCACAGCCACCCCCACACCCCCCCGCCACCCAGGACGCTTGTCCCTGGACCAGGGTCAGCTCCCAGCGGGTCCCGCCACCGCCATCCCTTCCCCTGGCCACCCAGCCTCCGCGTGCGGAGGGGCGGCATTCGGCTGCGGTGCTCGGGGTGCTGTGTGCAGACGGGCTGGGAGGCTGCAGCCGGGCTCGCCGGCCCCGTGTAGGACTCGCGATGAGGAAATGAGGAACCCAGGGGATTTGCAAGCATCAGGATCGGTGAAACGCAAGGCCCGACGCAGCCCCCGGTGCCAAAAGGAAATCGCTGTCCAGGGAAGAAGCCAAGAGTGTGGCCCGAGGGAAGTTATTCTCATTTCCCCAGGAACCAAGACGACCTTGGATGTGGACATCACATGCCAGTCAGTGGACTCGAGTTCAAAGGCCCGGCTGAGCCCTGTGGGAAAGGAACGGACGGGAACACAGGGCTTTGTCCCAGGAGGCCTGGAGGCACGCAGGTGGCTGCCTTCTCCCTGGGCTCCTGCCGAGCTGGGCCCCTGGTCCTGCAGTGAGCCAGCCCTCTGACCTGCCGCCCTGCCGCCCCGCCGGCAGTGGGAGGAGGGGCGACTGTTGTTCGGCAAATGAACCGCAACCGAAGGGAGAGCTCAGCTGGGTCCCTCCTCCCTCCAGCGGGAAAGGGGGCTGGGTGGGGGGTGGGGTGGCCTTCCCAGGCACCACCACCCCCCACCACTGAGAAAGCCCCTGGTCCCGGAGGGCCACCTGCCCCCCCTCCCCCGTGCCCTCTGACAACACCAGTGACTGTAGCCCAGTGCTGCCTGTGGCTCCGCCCAGTTAGGATCCCCCACACCTGGGTCTGGCCTCCCGGGCCTCTGGAGCCCGCTGAGGGGAGAGCTCGGACAGGCCAGCGGGGTGGGGGGAGGGGGGCGTGCGTAGGAGAGCGGATCAGAGATGGCGGAGAATCTACTTCGAGGCCCAGCTCTCAGGGGAGACACTCCAGCAAGTAGAGCTGCCCACTGGGTGTCCTACCAGAAACAGATTCCTCGTTTCGGTCGGAAGGGGGTTATCCGAGGGTCAGCTGCACCCCTGGCTGCAGGTTTGGGGCGACCTGCCAGAGAGGCTCTTTTATATTTAAGGTAAAGCGGAGGCCACACTGCTAAGGTCAATCACGCTGGCGGTTTTTAAAGACACGGGAAGTATCGAGGAGGCAGCGAACCCAGACGTGGTCGCAGCAGTGCTCCGACAGGGCCCCGGCCCCTTTGGCTGTGGGAAGGGGAGAGAGGTGGGGCGGGTCCTCTATCCCCAGGCCAGAGGGGAGCTCCTCGCCACATTCAGCCAATAAAAACACAGGACACGGAGGCAAACCTGCATTCCAGAAAAACACCAGTTATTTTTCAATGTGTCTCTGTGCTTCTGTGCGGCGGTGCCAGGCAGAGGCCCAAGAAGACAGGCCCATGCTGTCGTGGCTTTTCCCTGAGACGCAGAGGGATCCTGGGGGCGCGAGGGGGCTGGTGGTCCGCGCGTTCCTGGGCTGCGTGTGTTCCGGCAGCACGGCCGCCGCGCCCCCAGGTTGTAAGTGCTGTACATCAAGTGGCTGCCCAGAAAGTTCCCAGGCTGCACCAGTACACAGGTCTCCATCCGTCGCCGCTGGGACCCGTCAGGGGCTGGCCCGGGGCACGTGCTTTCCTAGGGTTTGCAGCCCAGCCTCCTCCAAGAGCTTCCGGAGCAGAGGCCGACTGAGCTCTCTCTCCCCCCAGTCTCCAGGGATGCCAAGCCGCGGGAGTGGTCGCCAGGACATCGGGGAGAGCCTCGCCCGCCGCCCTCGGCGGCCCCCGCCCAGCCGAGGGGGATGCCCTGGGCCCCGGGCAGCGGAGGAACCACCAGGTAGGGATGGGAGGGGTCCTGAGCAGGCACCTCCGAGGCCCAGCCTCTGACGGTGGAAGGAAAGGGGCGTTTGTCTGGGGCCTGAATCGAGGTGCCGAGACACCCAGGGGAGCGCGGCCACCACGCCTGGTAACCTCAGAGCAGAGGGGCCCGTCTGTCCTCAGACCGGGAGGAGAGGAAGCTCCTAAACGTACTCTTAGTTCTAAGAACTGTCAGGGGGACACGTGCGGGCGACGTGTGATGCAGGGTGACATGAGGGCAGCGTCCAGTCTCAGCTGCTTGCCCGGGCGAGGGTGGGGTGGAGGGGAGAAGGATGGAGAATGAGCCCAGTGAAGTGGGTTGGCAGCTTCCTCGCACAGAATTTGAAGCCCCGCCCCCATGCAGGAAAAAAAGGTGTTTTTTCTTCCTCTGCGCCAAATGAGCACAGACCAGGCTTCGATGGGTCACTCTGGGGCCTTTCAGAACCTAGAAAGGCCCTTTCAGGGAGAGGAGCCTCAGACCCAGCCCGTGTCCACAGCGCCGGGCACCCCAGCTGCCCCCCCCCACTCCTCCTGGCCAGCTGCCCCCCCTCCCCCCCCACTCCTCCTGGCCGTGCAGAGCCCGGCAGGCTGAGTATTCGGAGTCGGAGCGGCCAACCTGCTGCGCGGAAGCACCGGGCTGGCGGCACGTTGAGCGGGACCACGCCCTCGCAGGCTCTGAGTTAGAGGCTTTGCACCATGGCAACCGGGCAGGCCCCCTGTGCCCACGTGTTTCCAGACTGGGGAAGCACTTCCGCCAGTGCGCCCACTGACGGCGGGGGGGGGGGGGGGGGCCTCAGGGAGCCGGGTGTGACCCTGGAGGCCCCGGGCCTGAAGCCGCCTCCGCCCCCGGCAGATGCTACCCCCGCCGCCCCGCCCCACCCCACCCCACCCAGGCACAGGGTAGAGGGGTCAGGGAGCCGGCCCCGCTGGCCCTCCCCTTCCTGGGCTTCCCTGCCCGTCCCGCAGGCCCCACTGGTGGGACTCCACAGGAAAAGGAATTTCTGCTGAGTTCCAGAGGCTGAGGGAACACCTGGAGCTGCCGCTGCCACCGAGGACAGGCAGGGGCCCTGCTGGGCACCCGCGGTGGAGAAAGTCAGAGGGGCAGGGGAAGGAGGAGGGGCAGGAGGGACTGGAGCCCCTCCCCTCGGACAGCAGAACCGGGAGGGGATGAGCAGGACGGACTAGGGACCTGGACTGCGGTGGGGACTCTGCTCTGGATAGCTACGGGGCAGAGGGCGCAGAGACGGCAGGGCCAGCCAGAGGCTGGGGGCAGGGCAGGAGCGAGGGACCAGGGACACCAGGCATCTGGTCTCCTCCATCCCAACATCTGCCAGGCACGAGGGGAACTTGGGCACCCACCTCCCTCCAGGTGGCTGAAGATGAGCTCTGAGGCTGGAAATGCCCGAGGCCCAGCCGGTCAGCTTTCTCCAGCTCGAGTCACCCTCCTGAAGTGGGGGCCTCAAAATGAGAGACCTCAGCAGGTGGGCCAGTGCAGTGCCGAGGCTGGGCCCCCGCTGCCCTGGCCTCCGGGGTCCCAGGCCCAGCCAGGCCAAAGCAGCCCTGCTAGGGCCCGGCCTTGTTCCCTCCTGTAGATGCTGAGTGTCTTTCTGAGACTCATCCCTTGGGACAATCCTCTCTCCCCAGAAAGAACTGTTTCCAGAGCAGACAGGGGACCTCAAAGGTTCTTTTTGTAGCAACACCCCCCTTGTCACACGCAGTGGGGTTACCCAGTGGGCCCTCCAAGCTTCTGTTGGGCACAAATGCCCCCTCGGGGTTACACCCATGGGTGCCCTTCTCCCTCATGTCAATCACTTGAATTCAGCTCCTATTGGGGGCGGGGGGCCCCGTTTGAGAAAGAGGAGGATGGAAGAGGGGGCAGTATCTTGCTGTCCCACCGTCCACTCCCCCACGGGTCATCACCCCGCCCGGAATACTCTTTCCATGGCCCAGCCTCCTCTTGACCAGGCTGCTCCGTGTCACAGCTAACTGGTCCTCCCTCTTGTCTGACCCCAGAGTCCATGCATTCCAGGGCCTCAGGGCCCACTGTGCGGTCAGGTGACCCGTGACCAGCTCCAGTGACCTCAAAGACTGGGGCTACGTGCAGGATGGTTGTCCCCGTGTTTTCTTGCCTGGCCCGGAGCGGGCTCTCAGCATAGTTGTCGGATGAATCAGTCGGAGGAAGGGCGAGGATAGTGGCTCTCGGCACGGCTTGGGTGGGGGACGCCTGCCCCTCGGCGTCCCCCAACTCCCGTCTCTCTGCCTCTGGAGTGAGGGCAGCCCCGCCCCGGGAGATAGTAGGGCGGGTGGGCCGGCTTGGCTGCCGAGAGCCGCAGGGTTGGGTAAATGGCAAAGGGAAGGGTTGCTCTCCTGCCCGAGCCCTGACTTTGTGGTGGTTTGCAAGTGACTGAGAAAACACACACACAATAATTAATAAAGAGTAGTACCAGAAGAAGAAAAAAAGCGACTGCAGCCCCAGCCCCACTCGGGGGGGCTCCTGGCACTGATCTCGCTGCAGAACCACCTTCCCGGGAGCCAGGGAGTAACAGGTCCAGACCCCACCATCCCGCTGCCTCCCCACCCTCCCTGCGGCCAAGTTTTCCTTTTTAAATTTATTTATTTATTTGTTTATTTATTTATTTATAGAGGGGGGAAAAGAAGGACAAAGAAAGGGAGAGAAACATCAGTTTGTGGTTGCCCCTCACACGTGCCCCCATCTGGGGACCTGGCCGGCAACCCAGGCACGTGCCCTGACTGGGAATCGAACCGGCGACCCTTTAGTTCCCAGCCCCACACTCAATCCACTGAGCTACACCAGCCAGGGCTGCTGCTGCTTTTTTTTTTTTTTTTTAATTTGCTTCTTAGACTCCTTACCATTGAGTAGCTGGGGAACAATACTGTTAACCAGGCTTCAAAAAAATTTTTTTAAGAAGCATTTCACTAAAAAGAGCCCAGATGCTCCCCCGTGAAATCTGTCAGTCCAGACCACGAGGGCCCCTGCACCTTGGAAGGTGCAGGGGGTGGTTTCCAGCTGTCCCCTGTGGGAAGGTGGTGGACCGAGCTGCCTGGGGTGGTCGCACGGTCTTGCCCAGCACCCCTCGGCCCGCCTGCCGTCGGCCGAGTGAAGCGCTTGTTCGTGGACCAGAGCCCAGCTGGACAGGAAAGGCCTCTGCCTGGATGCTCCCCCAGGTGGCCTGAGGTCACTCGAGGGATGGGCGTCTCAGGTCCAGGCCGGGGGCAGGGTCAGAGGCAAACAGTGTCAGAGACCCTGACCTGCCACCGGCAGGAAATGACTCTTCGGCAAGTATATCGGCTTTTAAAAAAATAAGCGAGGAGGAGAGTTCTACATGTATCTGCACATGTGCCGTGTCCCCCTCACATCTGTCCCGAGAGGATGCACGGCAGTTCTCGATGACGAACGCGGGCGCTTGCAGCCAAAGGAAACTGCAGCCCGGGAGGCCAGGAAACGGGGCTGGGAGGGCCGCGCACCTACACGTGTGAGCCTCACGCCAGGTTTTCCTGCTTCACGCCGTGCTCTCTCCCCAGACCCCACCCCCTTCCCTGCCCCGGGCTGTGTTGCAGCCCGAGGAAACACACTCCGCAGTGACCGAGGCAGGCAGACAGCAGAGGCCCTTGGGGGGCCCCTGAGGACCCTCACGTGCACCTCCACGCAGAGGGAGCAGGGAGGGATCGCAGGAGCCTCTGCCCCGGGGTTGGTGACTCAGCCGTTCCAGACACAGGTGGAGATTCGGTGTCTCCAGGAGCCTTTTACTGCTCTTCCCTTCCCGCCCGAGGTTCTGTTGACAGCAGAGGGCCTTCCCGCGGGCTGGGCCTTTCAGCAAACAGTTACCGGCCGTTCAGGACACCTCCCAGTTTGCACATACGTTGGCGTTTACCTTTCTATCTAGTACCCAGCACCACGCGTTTCTGCAGCGAATTACTCTGTAAGTCACAGGGCACTGCCGACCTGAACTTCCTTTCCACGTGCTGCTGCTGCTCTGCCCTAATCTGGCCTCATCTGCTGCCAAACCATTGCCATTTCCTGGCTGCGGCTCCTGGCTGCCCAGGCCGCTGAGCTCACCGTGCTGGGGGGATGGGGAACCCTGCGGAGGCCGCTGGGGGCCAGGCTGACCCTTCCCAACAGCCACCCCCCCCCCCCGCCGGGCCTCCCAGTGTCCTTCCCAGAAGGCCCTGACACCATCGTCCCTGCAGTTTAATGACAATGACTGGCATCCTCAGTCAACACTGCCCCTCCCACAGCAGCCCCTGAGTGGTTTGGAGGACCTCACGGTGGGAGGCGGGGAGGTGTTCTGCCCGGCAACAAGGGGTAGCTGCCTGGGGCTCGGGGAAGGCCACTCCCTCCAGTGCTAATGGGAGGAGCCAGCCAGAGGAGGCCCCTGTGTGAGGGTGCTCTCTCCCGCCCAAGCAAGGCTCCCCCTGCCAACAAAGGTCATGTTCTCGAGCAAAAAGGAGGCTGGCTTTTAAGGTGTGTTACTCAGGGTTCTCCAGAGCAATAGAACCAACAGGATGTGTGTGTGTGTGTGTGTAGAGAGAGAGAGAGAGAAAGAGAGAGAGAGAGGGAGAGAGTTTTATTTTAAGGAGCTGGCTCACATGATTGTAGCCTTGACAAGTCCAGAATTTGCAGGGTGGGCCAACAGGCTGGAGACTCAGGGACGGGTTGAAGTTCTAGTCCAAAGGCGACCTGATGGCCGAACTCCTCCCTGATCAGGGGAAGTCAGCCTTTTGCTACTGAGGCCTTCGACTGATTAGATGAGGCCCACCCATGTAACGGAGGGCAATCTGCTTTATGTCTAAAGTCCCCCTGTTGAAATGGCACTCTCACCCACAGAATGCCTGCACAGAACCAGCCAGAATAACAGACGAACAGCCACCTGGGCGCCACGGCCCAGCCACGCTGACGAGTAACACTGACCCACACGGAAGGGTTTTGACGCTCCCCACCGCGCTGCGCTGCTGAAGGATGGGGCCCTTTCCCGGCCGCCCTGGGGTTGGGAGCTGACACACGCCTGAGCCCTGCTGCGCGGGCCACCCTCTTCCTTCACTCCTGGCCGGCTCCGCTCGGCTGCCCCCACCCCTGCATCCTGACCTTACTGCCCATCCGCTTCAAGGCCCCATGTGGTGGAGCTGGCCAGCCGTCCCGGGTCTGCACGGCTAGCCCCTCAGACCCTGGCCTCCCCGTCCTGCGACCTCGGGGTGGGACATACCCAGGCAGCCTGAGGCTCCCCCTCCGCCATCACCACTGCCTGGAGGCCTTTTTACCAATTTCTCCAGATGTTCCTTTTTAAAGTGTAGTGCACCTACCTCTTCAGGTGGTCACCCGATCATTTTTATGTCATGTATATTTCACCGCAACTTAAAAATAATGAACTGCTGTAAGAATGATAAAAAAAGCCCTGGCTGGTGTGGCTCAGTGGATTGAGTGCCGTCCTGCGAACCAAAGGGTCGCTGGTTCGGTTCCCAGCATAAGCACGTGCCTGGGGTGCAGGCCGGATCCCCAGTAGGGGGCGAATGAGAGGCCAACACACACTGATGTTTCTCTCTGTCTCTTTCTCTTTCCCTTTCCCTTCCCCTCTGTCTAAAAATAAATAAAATCTTTAAAAAAAAAGAATGATTTAAAAAATCAAGATTAAAATAGAAAAACAGGAAAAAAATCATCGGAATCAGACAATACTGGGTAAGAAAGCACCAGCAGTGCGACCACCTCGCTGTGTCAGAGTCTCTGTTTCCTGACCCCAAAGCCCCCTTGGTGAGCTTCCTGATGTGGTCGGTGGGAATCGGGCTGGCCCACGGGGTCTCGGGGAAAGCATCCCAAGGACCCACACACGGGAGACTGCGGTGTGGCCGGGTTTGTTCCGGAGGAGACAGAAGCTGCCCACTGGGTTTTCCGTGTCCCATCCCCTTCCGTCCCGCCACGGAGAAAGTCCCGCTGTGTCCTCCGCGAGGCTGAGACAAAGCCAGTGTGCGGGGTCCCTGCTCCATAGCACAGCTGGGTCTCGGGGAGCCCACGCAGCCTGCTGCGGGCCCTGGTAGCTGCCGGGCCCACGGGGTCTGGTGCTCCCAGCTGAGCGAGCTCACAGACCAAAGGGTGAGTGCAGGCCACGAGCGAGAGAGGGACGGACAGACAGACAGACAGACAGAGCTTCTTTGTTCCCCTGGGGTTATGTTGGTGTGCATTTGAAATGGACCAGGTGCTTTTCCAAAACAACCGGAGAACTCCCCAAGCTTTCGTGGGCTCTTTGATGGACCCACCCCCTCGTTAGACCGACAGGCCTTCACGGTCAAGCGCCGGCCCCTGCGCCCCCCAAGTCATTACCAAAGGGGGGCGGGGGGGGGGAACGAGTGTGAATCCACCTGTCGCTGTGGTCCCCGGGGTGTGAAGTGCAGCTTCCTGCTGAGGCAGACAGGCTTGTTTCCTAGTGTGTTAGGCTCCATGTTGAACTCCCTCCGCCCCCCTTCCTTATGAATATTCGCTAACTACCTTCACAGTAACGCCAAGAGCAGGAATTCGACCGACCAGGTCGATCTTCGGTCCCGGTGTCCGACAGAGCTCAGTGCGCACGCGCATTGTCAATGAGGGAAGGCATGCGAATCGTTAGGGGCGGGGCGTGGTGAGTTGCAACACGTGGGTCGGGTGAAACGGCCCGCAGCCGCTGTAAGTAACGAAGGGGGAGGCTGCTCGGACCCGTGGAGACAGAGGGGGCGAGGCTCAGAAAGTGGGGCGACGCGGGCCAGCGCAGGGCAGCACGCCGCGCACTCTGCCGGGCCGGCCCCTCGGGCTGGGCCCCAGAGGGTGTCTGCGGACGACCGCGGTGAGGGTCCCGCTGGGTTCGGACCTGGGCCTCGCTACCTGCTGGTTGTGTGTGTGCGGTGTCGGGAAAGCTCACAAACGTGGAGCCTCAGTTTCTGCATCTGAGAAAGGGGGTGGTGGTGCCTGCCTCTTAGGATCGTCTGGGGGTTCAAGGTCACCTTCGCAGCGAGGCCTTCCCTGGTCGCCCCACCTGAAATTTGTCTCCTATAACAGATCGCCACAAGTGTGGTGACCTGGACGGCACACCATTGTCACCTCACCAGTCTGTGGGTTAGAAGCCCGACCCCGATCTCCCTGGGGCCGGAATCGAGGTGTCCGAAGGACAGGTTCCTTTTCAGAGTTCTTGGGAGGTTCTCTCTTCCGCTTCTTCTGGCTCTAGAGGTGAAACCGGAAGGGCCGGCGTTGGAGCTGCCTGTCACCGACCAGACCCAGCAAGCAGAGGCAGGGACTGGATCTCTGTGGGCCCTTTATTCAGGGGGCGGGCACAGCGGGTTCACACCCTAACGGACCATGTTACGCTTCCTTCCAGGCCAGCCTTTTTATAAGAGGGAACAAAGTGTGAAAGGGGTTTTGAAATTCAGGGAAAATTAAATTAAAAAACTGCAGCGTTCTTGCCCCGGGCAGTTAGCTGTCCCCTGGGCGGGTGGGAGGGTGGTCTTCTGTCTCTCCTTGGAACAGAACACAATGGCTCGGATGTCTCCAGCTGTGCCCCAGCTGTGGTCTTTAGCGGGCCCAGCAGGCCAGCTGCCTCTCCCAGGACTCAGGGTAGGCCGCACCCTGCAGCTCCTGAAACGAGAGCTTTAACATATGCATGACCTCCTAGGCTTAACTGTTTACCTTAAACTAAAATTTTCCGACTCTTGAGTCCCCTATCAGAGGCCACCTGCTGCTTTGTTGGGAGGAGGCGGGGGGGGGGGGCGGGGACGGGAGGGGGGATAGGAGTGGGGGGGGACAGGAGAGGGGCAGGATCCTCCGTCTGCAAAGCCAGCATCTCTGTCCCTCTCTTCCTGGCCCTGCCTGTTTCTCTGACTCTTCTTCAGCCTTAACCCACTTTCAGGACCCCTGTGATTTGGGGCCACACCCCAAAAATCCAGGGTAAGCAGTTTCAGGGTCCATGGATTTGCAACCTCAGTTCCCATTTGTCACGTAAGATCCCAGGGAGGAGGACCTGGACGGCTTCGCCCCTGCCCTGCCACCACACCCTCCCAAGCCATCCCAACACTTTGGTCTCCACAAGCTCGCCTCCCCTTCCCTGCTTATCTCCCCCTTAGCGCGTGTTTCTCTCTCGTCTCCACCCCTAGAATGGGAGCTCTGTGAGGACAGGGACTTAAGCCTCTGGGTGTCCTGCTCTACCCACCCCCACCCCAGCTCCCAGCCCCCCTGGCTTCTGTCTGTGTTCAGACGGGAGTCCTCCCTCCCTCCTGTGATGCCCAGCCACGCAGGAGCTGCGACCCTAGGTCACACGTTTTGTTCCAGGGAATTCTCATCAGCCCTGACCTGCAGGCCCCGGACCCCCCGCACACCGGAGATCCTGGACCTGAACCCACCCAAGGCCAAGACCTCGGCTCTGGCCCCTCAGTTCTCCTCGTGTGGCCCCCAGCAGGCCAGCCGCCCTGGCTCCACGACGTCCTCCGTGAGGGGCCTGCAGAGTGAGTCCGCTTGGGGGGAAGGGCTGTGGGCTCCCCCTGCCCACAGGACCAGGGCCCTGGCCAGTCTGCCCTGGCCCTGGGGGCCGGCTCCTCACTGCTCTCTCCATTTCCGCAACCGCCTTCAGCCGCAGGGTCTCACACACAGGCCAGTGGAGTGGGACTCTCCAGGTGGTGCCACTCAGAGATAAGGAGCCCCCCTGTGGGGCCTGCTGTGGTGCACCCCCAAACCAAAGGGGCCTGGCAGTGCCCAGCCTCCCTGCAGGCAGGCTGGTGGGGGTGCCGCCAGAGGGACTGTCCCTGGGGGGGCCCCCCTCCCGCCCTTTTGCTCCCAGTGAAGACCTCTCCTTTCTCTGTCCCCTCCCAGCCAGTTGGCCACCCTCCTCCACTCCCCCACGGAGCTTTGGTAAAAATAAGGGGAACAAAAGAGAAGCAGAACAAAAGAACGTCCTGCAGAGTCCATCAGTCACACTCAGGATATGCGCATTTCTGTGACTGTGCTGTCCCCGCCCCCCCCACCAGCTCCCTTCCTGACATGGCCCCAGGCACTCCGGCCATCTGGGGACCCCCTGGGCTGGAAGTGTGGCTCACGGCCACGGCTGGGACTGGGAGGCCCCTCTGCTGGGAAACACAGCAAGGCCCCAGCCCCAAGTGCCCCGCCCTCGGGGCAGGCCACCGGCTTCCTCCCCCAGGCCAGCCCTGCAGGAAAGGCCGGCCCCTGTCTAACCTGCCCGGGGCTAGGCTGCACTGGCGGGAGCCCCGCTGACATTACTCTAGGGTGGGGGGACAGCACCCCGCAGCTGATCGGCTGGCCCGGCCCCTGCCAATTGCACAGCGTGTCCCAGGCCGGTGCAGCGGGCTCAGGGAGCCGTGAATTTAAGTCCCGCGGCCTCCACAGGAGCGCTTGCCAGCAAAACTCACTGACGCCCCGCACCACGCAGCCCGCTTCCGGTGAGGACAGCGTGTGGCCAAACAAGCCGTGTCCTGGCTGCAGAGCAGGTGACCCCGGGGAGGGGAGGTCCCCCGTGTTTCGTTTCCCCGGAGCCGGCTGAAAGAAGGAATTGTGAGGGACAGAGGGGCTCTGTACGGAGCGGGCCTGGGCACTGGCAGCTCGCTCTGGCTCTCCTTCTCCAGGCAGTCACTCTCAGAGGAAGTGAGAAGGGTTTCTTCCCCGGCGCCACCGTCCCTCTGCAGGAGGACCAGCCAGCTTCCCGTTCTTGGCCGGCCAGCAGCTGCAGGTGACAGATGTGAAGTGACAGTTGTCTGTGAGCCCCGGGGGAACCGAGGAGAGGACAGCTCTCCAGACAGCCGCAGAGCAGGCCCGCCGCCGCCGCCGCCTTCGTGACCCAGGCTCCACGTCCGCTCCTGGCGTGGCCAGACGGGGCAGGCTGGGACGTCCTGCCCGTGTCCCTCCCTGAGGGTTCACAAGTCCGATCGGGAGCCGGCCCCTGTGCCCCTGGGACCCAGACAGCTCCGCCAGGGCCCAGCTGTGGCCTCGGCGGGAACCGGCTCTCCGTCCTCGGACCAAATGTGAGACAGCAGTGATTTAGAGTAAGAGGAACTGATCTTCCTCAAGCCATACACCTAATCGGCAGTCTTGATATTGTCTTCCTCTTTTAAAATCCGGTAAGAACATGGTTGGTTCCCACACACGGCTCAGAACATGGCCGAGCCAGAGCCGCCCTGTGCTCCTGCGTGCCGGGTTCAAGGCCCAGAGGCTCGACCAGCTCGCAGCCTGCTTCCTCACCTCCGCTTCGACAGGAACCACAGACAGCCCCGCTGGCAAAAGGACAGGTTCCCACGGCGGGAGGCCTGGGCGCGCCTCTTGCCGAGGTGACATCACAGCCCGGGTCCTAGGACGGAGGAAGGGAAATTGCCTGCAGAGCCACCAAGGCCCCAGGCGTCCAAAATGGCACCCAAGCTAATAGCAGCGTCTGACCTGACCTCTCCGGGAATGGAAATATGGGAATAAATTAACCAGTGTTTAGAGGGCACCCGTGTGTGTGTGAGACCATGACTTCCCTGGGGCACTCCGTCCACCCCGGCCAGGCCCCATGTGCAGACGTCCGTGCCCCACTGGACGGCAGGAGAGGAAAAGCTCGAAGTGTCCAGTGGCCTTCCCAATGCTCGGGAGCACAGGCAAGGGGCCAGTCGGCCCGTGGGATGACAGTACACTGGTCACGGGCCGGCACCTGGGTGACTCTCCTGGGTCCTTGGCACGTCAGCACTTCACGGCCGTGGGAATGGCGCTGCGGCCACACCCTCGTCCTTGGGAAACGTGCTGGCCCCTCTCCGATCCTGGGGAAGAAGCTGGTGGGGGGGGGGGCGGGGGTGCACTTCGCTGCTGCCGCCGCCACCGAGGGACCGCCAGCCTCCAGGCACCCGGGATTCCCGGCTCGTCCCGAGGCGGAGGAAGAGAAAACACAAAGGCTCGTCTCCGGGGTTGTGGGTGTGAGTGGAGGCGACCGGGTCCCTGAAGTGGGCTCCCTTCCGGCTGAACCGTGCAGAAGGCAGGGGAACGTAATGGAAAAGAGTCTTTCCCGTTCTCCGCAGCCAGCCCTCCCCCTCCGGATTCCTCGGCTGCCGCCGCGGGCTGGCACGGCCTTTCCCCTGCGTCTCCCCCGCTGCGTCATGGGAGCGCAGACTCCGCGCTGCAGGGGGGTGGGCGGCGTCTCCGCGTGCGCCCCGCACTCCCCGGAGCGCTGGCCGTTTCTGCCTCCAGCCGTCAGATGAGCTGAAGTCTGATCTGGAAGTGTCTGGCCATTTCGGGGAGGGCGGGGGGGGGGTGGAGTAGACCACCTTTTACAGACGAGGGGAGTATCCTACTCGGGGCCAAACTGAACCGAGCTCATCAGGAGCTCAGCCGGTGGCTCTGCCGGGGAAGGTGAAGGGTGCCCGGGCGACCGAGCCACACCCGGCGGGTCCTGGTGCAGACTCGAACCTCTGCGCCCGAGGCTGACAGCCAGAAAGGGGCTTTGTGAAGTGCCAGCAACTCAGTCATGAGATAGCACCCGAGCTATCTGCTGGTCTCACTGAGTTGGCCGCGGTTGGGTTCGAGCAAGATCTGAGGGGAGGGAGGAAACCAACTGTAGGTTTCCCCCGCTATGCGAAAATAGAGCTATCTGCCCTGGCTGGCGTGGCTCAGTGGACTGAGTGCTGGCCTGCGAACCAAAGGGTCACGGGTTCGATTCCCAGTCAGGGCACATGCTTGGATTGTGGGCTGGATCCCTGGGGGCGGGGGGCACACAAAAGGCAACTTTTACATTCTCCCTTAGGTTTCTCTGATACCTGAGGACACGTCTTGCTAACAGATGCACAGAATAACTCGAGGTAAAGCCCAGGTGCTCACAGACGCAGTTGGAAGCCTTGGAAGCCGTGGCAGCCAGATGCTGCGATGCTGAGTGTGGGTCCCGGGGAAGGAGCGTGGTAGGGCCGCTCTGCCGCTCTGGTGCAGCCGCTTCTGTAAGGGTTCCCCACTAGACTCTGAACACCTTTTTTCCTGTTTGCCTTTTTATTGCAACAGGGAAAATCCTCTTTGGATTTCTTCCGATTAGTGAAAGCAGCTACGGGGATAGGACTTACATAAAATCGAACTTGAAAAAGCAGGGGGTCCAGTACACAAATAAACCCAATCACTTCCGGGTCACCTAGAGATCTTACCATCCAGCACCTAGGACTGGCCCGAAAACTGCCGGGGAAGCCACAGAGAGAAGTCCGTGGGGCTTTTGGAAAATGGTGGGCCCTCTCTGGGGTGGCTCAGTGGGTTGGGCATCATCCTGCAAACCGAAATGTCACCAGTTCGATCTACGGTCTGAGCACAGGCCTGGGTTGCAGGCCACGTCCCTGGTCAGGGCGCGTGCGAGAGGCAACCGATTGAGGTTTCTCTCTCACATGGATGTTTCTCTCCCTCTCTTTCCCCTTCCCTTCCCCTGTTTCTAAAAATAAAAGAGTAAAATCTTTTTTAAAAGAAAAAAAAATGGCGGGTCTTCCGGAAGACTGGCTCCCCCGCCCCTGGGAGCTGAGCCCAGCTCTCTGCTCACCTGGGCCCCGATTTCTCCGGAGTAGGTCTCAGTCTCATTTGCTTAATTCACAGCAGGTGGGGATGCCTGGAAACAGCACACATGGCGGCCCTGAGTGGGAACATAACAGTCAGGTGGAGGTTTGAAATCCAGTCTGCTCCCAGGGGTCACTCAGAAAGTTGGGGAAGATTTGGCCTAAATCAAAGGAGCTAAATAAGCCCTGGCTGGTGTGGCTCAGTGGACTGAGTGCCGGCCTGCGAACCAAAGGGTTGCCGATTGATTCCCAGTCAGGGCACAGTGGGGTGCAGGCCAGGTCCCCAGATGGGGGCACATGTGAGGGGCAACCACACATTGATGTTTCTCTCCTCTTTCTCCCTTCCCCTGTCAAAAAATAAATAAAATCTTTTGGAAAAAAAGAGCTAAATAAACAGTCTTGCTAGTGTGGCTCAGTGGATTGAGCACTAGCCTACGACCCAAAGTGTTGTCAGTTCAATTCCTGGTCAGGCACACGCCTGGGTTTTGGGCCAGGTCCCCAGTGCCGGGGACCGTGGGAGGCAACCACACGTTGATGTTTCTCTCCCTCTCTTCCTCTCTCCCTTCTCTTCTGTCTAAAAATTAATAAATAAAATCTTTTGAAAAAATAAAAATAGAGAAAAACACACAAATAAATAAAAATGATACCAAAATAATCCCTGACAAAATATTACACTTTTCCATAAAAACGAGCTCTGACCCTGCACCTGTATGACCCTCCCTCACGTGGCCAAACCCCAACCCCAGCCCCAAGCCCAACAATGCTTTCATCACAAAACACAGGCAGCCAGCCCACGGGCCAGCATTTACTGGTTTGGTTTTCTTAAATACGGCACTAAAATATTATTTATCTGGGCTACTGAGTTGGGGGCACCCCCTTTCTTTTTATGTACACTGCTCCCCAAGTCACCTCTTGTCCCCACCTGGGCTCTGGGGGCTGCTCCTGGTCCCCCCTGTGTGCCCACAGGCGGGGGGTGGGGGGGGCCAGGGGGCTGGATCTTCGGCCCCCACCTCCCCAGACACTGTCAGCAGTAAGCTGTGCTGTGGGACTCCGTTCGCTTTTGCACGTACACCGCCCCCAGAACGTAGCAGCTAAAGACAGCTGACCAGCTTTACAGCTCTGTGGATCGGCGGCGGGGCTGGGCTCAGACATGCAGAGCCGTAGGGCTCGGCGGGACCCGGGCGTGTGTCTGCGGGCAGAAGGCGGTCAAGGCCTTCGGTTCGCGGCGAGCAGAGGATGTTGGCTGGGTCCTGCGTTCTTCCCCTTGGGGGAAGAACCTTCCTCCAGCAAGCTCGCTTGGGCTCACCCGCACGGCGGTCTCGGAGCTCCTACTGCAGTCAGAGAGGTCAAGCCCAAGTGCATTCAAGTTCCTACTCACATGCTTATTGCTCTCCCACTGGCCAGAGCAGGTCCCACGGCCAAGGCCAAGGCCCCGGGCGGAAGGACGAGGCTGCGGGGGAGCTGAACAAACCTGGGCGTGGTGGGAGCAGCCCACCATCTGGAAGGCGCCCAGAACTTCCTCACGTGTCAGAGCCGCATCTCCCGGGGTTGTTTCCCCACCGCGGGTGACCTCCCCACCTCAGGTCCCTCCGGCAAACGCCGCACGGCGCTGCTCTGCCCTGGGCTGGGCGGTGTTGTGATTTCATTAAGTTAATATTTGTCAGGCGGAGCCCCGGGTGGAAGACGGCAGGGAACCGTGCAGGAGGGAAGTGTGTTACTCACGTCCTGGAGGAGCCACGGCTCGCCTCCAGGGCCGCGTGGGGAGGCGGGGCTCCGCGGCGCAGTGCCAGCAGCGGGACCTGGGCACGCGCCTTGAGGAGGGCTGCTGGACTGCGGCCGAGTTGGTCCACTCCAACCAGGGGGGCGGGGATTTTGCTGCTCTGTGGTGGTCTCATCTAAGGGGTGCACCGCCAGGAGGTGGGTGGGTGGCCATGATGATGGGGCCTTGGGGAAGTCACGCCAGGAACTGACGCTTGTTCTGACTCCCAGGGACACTGTGCCGCGGGAGGGCCGGCGTCCGGTCGAGGCCCCGCAGGCCACGTAAAGTGGGTGTCGCTGCCGCAGCAGCATCGGCAGCCCTTCAGCGGAACTCTCAACAGGAGACACAGTTTCCCGGGCCCTCGAGTCGCTCCCCGTCTCCTAGGGAGAATTCCTGGCCTTTGCAGATGGCCGCCGTTCAGGGCAGAGCCCCAGCGCCAGGCTGGAAGGGTGGAGGACGGTCACCGTGGCCACAGAGCCGGAGGAGATGGAGGAGAGGTGGGCTGCCTGAAAGCGGCGCCCCCAGAGTGTTGGGCCGGAGGTCAGCTGGCCCCAGGAAAAGCTGAGGAGAGGAGTTGGATGCGGAAGGCACTGAGGTCGGGGGAGGTCCTGGTGAAGGAAGAGGGGCGAGGTGATGGCATGAGCTCTAAGGGGGCGGGGGGGGGGGTTGGAGCGGAGCCAGGGAGCTGGGGGCCACCAGGCCCTTCTCTGGGACTCGAGCAGGAGCAGGGTGTGCTGAGCCAGCGAGTGCCTGCACACTCAGGTGCCGAACGTAGCCATTACCAAAACTCGGGTTATACAAATTCACAAAGAAATTCTATTAGCCCTGGCTGGCGTAGCTCAGTGGATTGAGCTCGGGCTGCGAACCAAAGTGTCGCAGGTTCGATTCCCAATCAGGGCACATGCCTGGGTTGCAGGCCACCACCCCCAGCAACCGCACATTGATGTTTCTCTCTCTCTCTCTCTATCTCCCTCCCTTCCCTCTCTAAAAATAAATAAAATCTTTTAAAAAAAAATCTCCTTTAAAAAAAAAGAAAGAAATTTTATTAGAAACAAAGGTGAGGCCCTGGCTCAGGTGCTTAGAGCATAGTCCCCACACACCAAGGTTGTGGGTTCGATCCCTGGTCGGGGCACGTACAAGCATCAACCAATGAACGCATCGAAAAGTGGAACAACAAATTGATGTTTCTCTCTCCCCTGTCCTCTCTCTAAAGATCAACAAAATTAAAAAAACAAAGATAATAAGTACTCAAAACTCATCCTTTTCTGATTATTGTATTGTGGTGACCGTTGTCTGTGTCCTGGAGGTCACCGGCATCTGCTGCATCGGAGAAGGAGGCCGTGCCGTGATGACGCCCCCGTGCACTCCAGCCCAGCTCTGCGCTCCACCACACCCCTCTGGGAGCGGGGAGTTGGCCGCGCTGGGGACGTTCGCACCACGGAAACTGGCCACACTACGTGACAAACTAGGGCTTTGCCCCTTTTCCCCAGCCAAAGCTGGTCATTAAACTTTCCCTAGCCCGCCCCGGGGCAGAGGAGTGTGCAAGGAGGTGCAGGCTGAGGCCGAGGGCTGGGGGGACTGGGAACCGTGCTGGGGACGGTGTGGGCCCCCTCCAAAGGGTGACACGGGCAGTGGACCGGCAGCGGTCCTGGAAGCCTCTGCCCACACCTGTTCCTACGCACACTCAGACCTCCGGCGCTGGCCTGGAGCGCCAGCACCGTCTCACTCCTGGCTGTCACCGTGCAGGAACGCGGCCGCGGCCCTTCTCCCCGGACTGCGTGACGACGGTTAACGCGGTGTCTCTTGGACACCTTCCCACGTGGAACACTGCTGCTCACCCTTCCACAGTCTCTCTGTGCCACAGAAGCACCCGCCCGCTCGCCGACGGGCGTGGCTCTGCTCCTGACTGCCAGTCCCTGCTGCCACCAGCACCCCCTGGTCCCGAGGGGCAGGGCCTGGCTTTCCCGGGGACCACGGGCCTCCATGCGGAAGGCGGGGCACGGAGCCTGGATGGATCAAGTGTCCAATCCCAAGGCAAGAAGAGTGGGGGGCGGGGGTGGGGGCGGCTGGAGCCCCCGGAAACCGATATAATCTTGTATGTCAACTGTACTTTTTAAAAAAAAGGTGCCGGGGCATGAAGTGAGGACACGACCACCATCCCTGGGCAGCGACACCGATGCTGGCCACCAGGGACCACGTGTCTGTCTGCAGGAGGGGTGCACCAGGCACCACCCAGGGAGAGGCACAGGTGGCGGCCGCACAGCTTCCGGTGGCTTTTGTCTCCAGCGACACGGGCCCTTCTTTTGCTTATCTGGGCCACGAGTCCTTGCTTATTATTATTACTATCCTCACCCAAGGATATGTTTTTTATTGATTTTTCAATCATTTATTTATTTATTTTCAAGGTTTTATTTATTTACTTCTAGACAGAGGGGAAGGGAGGGAGAGAAACATCGATGTGTGAGAGATACATGGATGAGATACATCAATTGGCTGCCTCTCACACACCCCCAACTGGGGACCTGGCCCAAAACCCAGGCACATGCCCTGACTAGAATCGAACCAGCGACCTTTTGGTTTGAAAGTGGGCGCTCAGTCCACTGAGCCACACCAGCCAGGGCCATTTTTGTTGGTTTGAGAGAGAGGAAGTGGGGGAAGAGAGAGAGACATTGATGTGAAAAAGAAGCATTGGTCAGTTGCCTCCTGTGCATGCCCTGACTGTGGATCGAACCCACAACCTGGGTATGTGCCCTGACCAGAAAGCAAAACCGTGACCTTTTGGTGTACAGGGACGATGCTCCAACCAACCGACCCACCCAGCCAGGGCCTTATTATTCCTTTTTAATGATTCTTCAAGTTGGGAGCCACTAGTGATCCACATATTTGATACTAAAAGAGTGACCCTCGTCACCTAGTCTCAGGGGTTGTGTGTCAAATGGCCCCCTGCCTGCCTTCAAACCCCCCTGAAGTTAGTAGCTGGGACAAAACATTTGTAATGCCTGGCTGACGTAGCTCAATGGATTGAGCGCACCAAAGTATCGCAGGTTCGATTCCCAGCCAGGGCACATGCCTGGGTTGCAGGCCATGACCCCCAGCAACCGCACATTGATGTTTCTTTCTCTCTCTCTCTCTCTCTTCCTCCCTTCCCTCTCTAAAAATAAATAAATAAAATCTTTAAAAAAAGAAAGAAAGAAAAGGAAATTTGGTAAAAACAAACAAACAAACAAACAAACAAACAAAACATCGGTAACCCCAGTTTGGAACTGTTTCATGGTGTGGCCACCGCACCCCCGCCACCCTGGCCGGCGGCCCTGCCCTCAGCCCCAGGTCCTCACAGGGAAACAGCATCCGGCGGGGGTCCCTTCGGTTTCTGTGCAGCAAACGTGTGGCTCGTGAAGCTCCAGACCCCTGCACCCCCCGTTCCTGTGAGAACAACTTTCCACCTTCCTTGTTGTTTCCAAATGCCGAGGCTCCCCTCTGTGACAGGTGTGAGTGACGATTAGCGAGGGACAAGCGAGGTGACCATGAGGCCAGGTGGCCAGGGAGGTTAGATGGGACCGATGGTGATGCCGCTGTGCCACGGTCACAGTTCCTGGAGGACCAGACTGTCACGAGCGTCTGTTTGCAATACAGTCTTTCCTCTAAGTCCGCCGGCAACCGCCCGGCTAGCTGCCTGCGGAGCAGTCTGGCGCCAAGGAGTAGACCAGGGTCACACACAGTAACTACGCTGTTCACTCAGCGTCTATTGAATGCAGGGTCACTCAAACCAGAATATCAATGTACATTACTATCCTGCTCACACACTCACAATCTAAGAGGAATATAACACACACACGGCCATCAGTGGGGGATAAGGAACCCGAGTCCCAGGGTCTCTGTCTGCAGGTCTGGGGGTCGGCACCATGGGCACGGGAGTCGTCAGCGTCCTGCAGGGAAGGACCCCCGGAGCCAGGTGGGCAGCAGGGCAGGCGACGTCCTCCGTCCAGCAGGGCAGAGCCTCTGGTAGCCCATGGCAAGGGAGATCGGCGTGGCGGGGAGCTGCACTCTGGGGTGTGGAGCTCAGCTGTCTCCGCAGTGGTCTGGAGCCTGCCTCAGTGATACCTCGAGAGTGGTGCACTCCACCCCTCTGGGTCCTTTCGATAAATGTCTTGGCACCCCTGACGGCCAGCGTGGAATTTCCCCAGGAGCCTAGCTGTGGGTGGTCCCGCTCCCCTGACACAGCCCCTCTGACCACGTGTGCAGATACCGTAGTGTGTCTCCTTGCCGCACAGTTCTGCTCCGACCACATGCACAGACCTGTCTCCTTGCCACAAGCGTTTACTCTGACTTAGGGAATTTTCCTCGGGAACCGAAGTGTCACGGCTGACAGACAGCCGCTTCAGTTAACATAAGCGACTCCACTTTGTTTTATATGCTTCATGCTGTCTTAACCCGACCAGCGCCGTTTTACTGGTCCTGTTCTCCACGCAGACCCACTCCACAGCCTCAGAAAGTGTGGATCAAGATTCCTGTGAGGATTCTAAGGCCACCGTAAGGCAGGAGCAGCAGCAGGCCAAGCAAACTGGACTTGAAAAGTTCAAGGTCATGGTTGCAATTAAATACAGCTTCTCAGAAACTGCCTGGCCCGGGGCTGAACTACACGGAAGCTCACTGCTGGAATGCAAGCCTTCACACAGCCGCCTGGGAGGGGACAGCAGGCACTGAGATGCCCCAGCGGCCTCTGTGCCCCACCTGGGGTGGCTCTGGCCTCGCCCCCTCCGTGTGCGTCCCACAGCAGGCCTCCCGGCGCTGGGCTCCGGGTCCAGCCCCCC